AGTGTTTCCTAGTGGAGAAGATTCCTAGTGTCCTCCAGTGTTTCTAGTGGAGAAGATTCCTAGTGTCCTCCAGTGTTTCCTAGTGGAGAAGATTCCTAGTGTCCCCCCAGTGTTTCCTAGTGGAGAAGATTCCTAGTGTCACCCCAGTGTTTCCTAGTGGGAGAAGATTCCTAGTGTCCTCCAGTGTTTCCTAGTGGAGAAGATTCCTAGTGTCCTCCAGTGTTTCCTAGTGGAGAAGATTCCTAGTGTCCTCCAGTGTTTCCAAGTGGAGACAATTCCTAGTGTCCTTCAGTGTTTACTTTTAGTAGTGGAGAAGTTTCCTAGTGTCTTCCAGTGTTTCTTAATAGAGAAGATTCCTAGTGTCCTCCAGTGTTTCTTAGTGGAGAAGATTCCTAGTGCCCCCCCCCCACAGTGTTTTCTAGTGGAGAAAGATTCCTAGTGTCCCCCAGTGTTTCCTAGTGGAGAAGATTCCTAGTGCCCTCCAGTGTTTCCTTATGGAGAAGATTCCTAGTGCCCCCCACAGTGTTTCCTAGTGGAGAGGATTCTTAGTGTCCTCCAGTGTTTTCTTAATAGAGAAGATTCTAGTGTCCCCCAGTGTTTCCTAGTGACGATTCCTAGTTTCCCCCAGTGTTTCCCAGTGGGAGAAGATTGCTAGTGTCCCCCAGTGTTTCCTAGTGGAAAACATTCCTATTGTCCTACAGTGTTTCCTAGTAGAGATGATTCTTAGCGCCCCCCCCCCCCCCCCCAGTGTTTCCTAGTGGAGAAGATTCCTAGTGTTCCCCAGTGTTTCCTAGTGGAGAAGATTCCTAGTGCCCCCCCCCGTGTGTTTCCAGTGGAGAAGATTCCTAGTGTCCCCCAGTGTTTCCTAGTGGAGAAGATTCCTAGTGTCCTTTAGTGTTTCCTAGTGGAGAAGATTCCTAGTGTCCTTCAGTGTGTTTCCTAGTGGAGAAGATTCCTAGTGTCCTCCAGTGCTTCTTAATGGAGAAGATTCCTAGTGTCCTTCAGTGTAGTTTCCTAGTGTCCTCCAGTGGAGAAGATTCCTAGTGTCCTCCAGTGTTTCCTTTATGGAGAAGATTCCTAGTGCTCCCCCACTGTGTTTCCTAGTGGAGAAGATTCTTAGTGTCCTCCAGTGTTTCTTAATAGAGAAGATTCCTAGTGTCCCCCCAGTGTTTCCTAGTGAAGATTCCTTCCCTCCAGTGTTTCCTAGTGGAGAAGATTCCTAGTGCCCCCCAGTGTTTCCTAGTGGAAAACATTCCTATTGTCCTACAGTGTTTCCTAGTAGAGGCGATTCATAGTGCCCCCCCCCCAGTGTTTCCTAGTGGAGAAGATTCCTAGTGTCCCCCCCAGTGTTTTCCTAGTGGAGAAGATTCCTAGTGCACCCCCCCCCCCCCAGTGTTTCCCAGTGGAGAAGATTCCTTGTGTCCCTCCCAGTGTTTCCTAGTGGAGAAGATTCCTAGTGTACTCTAGTGGAGAAGATTCCTAGTGTCCCCCCCAGTGTTTCCTAGTGGAGAAGATTCCTAGTGTCTCCCCAGTGTTTCCTAGTGGAGAAGATTCCTAGTGTCCTTCAGTGTTTCCTAGTGGAGAAGATTCCTAGTGTCCTCCATGTGTTTCTTAGTGGAGAAGATTCCTAGTGCCCCCCCAGTGTTTCCTAGTGGAGAAGATTCCTAGTGTCCTCCCCCCCAGTGTTTCCAGTGGAGAAGATTCCTAGTGTCCCTAGTGTTTCCTATTGGAGAAGATTCCTAGTGTCCTCAGTGTTTCCTAGTGGAGAAAATTCCTAGTGTCCCCCAGTGTTTCCTAGGAGAAGATTCTAGTGTCCCCCCAGTGTTTCCTAGTGGAGATGATTCCTAGTGCCCCCCCCCCCAGTGTTTTAGTGGAGTAGATTCCTAGTGTCCTCCTCCAGTGTTTCCTAGTGGAGAAGATTCCTAGTGTCCTTCAGTGTTTCCTAGTGGAGAAGATTCCTAGTGTCCTTCAGTGTTTCCTTGTGGAGAAGATTCCTAGTGTCCCCCCCAGTGTGTTTCCTAGTGGAGAAGATTCCTAGTGTCCCCCCCCGTGTTTCCCTTGTGAAGAAGATTCCTAGGTGTCCCCCCAGAGTTTCCTAGTGTAGAAAGAAGATTCCTAGTGTGTCCCCCCCCCCGTGTTTCCTAGTGGAGAAGATTCCTAGTGTCCCCCCAGTGTTTCCTAGTGGAGAAGATTCCTAGTGTCCCCCAGTGTTTCTTAATAGAGAAGATTCCTAGTGTCCCCCCAGTGTTTCTTAGGGAGAGGATTCCTAGTGCCCCCCACAGTGTTTCCCTAGTGCAAAGATTCCTAGTGCCCCCCTCAGTGTTTCCATAAGTGGAGACAATTCCTAGTGTCCTCCAGTGTTTCCTTAGTGGAGAAGATTATCCTAGTGCCCCTTCAGTGTTTCCCTAGTGGAGAAGTCAGAAGATTTAGTGTCCTCCCAGTGTTTCTTAAGAGTTTCCTAGTGTCTTCCAGTGTTTCCTTTATGGAGAAGATTCCTAGTGTCCCCCAGTGTTTCCTAGTGGAGAAGATTCTTAGTTGCCCTCCAGTGTTTCCTTATGGAGAAGATTCCTAGTGCCCCAGTGTTTCCTTGTGGAGAAGATCCTAGTGCCCCCACAGTGTTTCCTAGTGGAGAAGATTCTTAGTGTCTTCCAGTGTTTCTTAATAGAGAAGATTCCTAGTGTCCCCCAGTGTTTCCTAGTGAGAAGAAGATTCCTAGTGCCCCCAGTGTTTCCTAGTGGAGAAGATTCCTAGTGTCCTCCAGTGTTTCCTAGTGGAGAAGATTGCTAGTGTCCTCCAGTGTTGTTTCCTAGTGGAAAAGATTCCTAGTGTCCTACAGTGTTTCCTAGTAGAGCCGATTCCTAGTGCCCATCCCCCCCAGTGTTTCCTAGTGGAGAAGATTCCTAGTGTAATTCAGTGTTTGTCCAGTGGAGAAGATTCCTAGCATCCTTCAGTGTTTCCCAGTGGAGAATGAGAATTCCTAGTGTGTCCTCCAGTGTCTCCTTGTGGAGAAGATTCTAGTGTCCCCCAGAGTAGAGATTCCTAGTGTCCTTCAGTGTTTCCCAGTGGAGAAGATTCCTAGTGTCCTCCAGTGTCTCCCAGTGGAGAAGATTCCTAGTGTCCTCCAGTGTCTCCCTGTGGAGAAGATCCCTAGTGTCCTCCAGTGTCTCCCTGTGGAGAAGATTCCTATTGTCCTCCAGTGTTCTCCCTGTGGAGAAGATTCCTAGTGTCCTCCAGTGTCTCCTAGTGGAGAATATTCCTTGTGTCCACTCAGTGTTTCCTATTGGAGGACATTCCTAGTGTCCTCCATTGTTTCCTATCAGAGAAGATTCCAAGTGTCCTCCAGTGTTTCCTGGCTTTCTTGAAAATATTCCCATGGACACCAAGACTCCTGATGTTTCACATTCTGAGATACTCCTAGTGACCTTGAAATTCTTTGTGATCATGTGATTATATTCCCTTTGTTTTGTGCGCCTATTGAAAGCTTCTCCCCAGTGCCTTCCAGTGTGAACCCCATTCCCCCGTGTCTTTTTGCTGTTCACAGTGTTTAGAGGTTCCTGCTTGTCTCTTTTCATTGTTACTCGCTCCTAGTTGTCCTGTGTATATGTGTGCTCCTGACCTCAGGGTCTGTGTGTTTCCAGGCACTCCTGCTAGCTGGAGCTGCACTCCCTACTGTCCTGTGAGTGTGACGGTGTGGATGAGGAATTATGGGTGGAATGGTAGATGGGTCTATGGACCGGTGGATTTATCATTGGAGTATACTACAGACGTCCTGAGGTCTATGAGAAGGGGGAGAGTCGGCTGTTCCAACAAGGTGATGGTGCGGAGGAGGAATTACGGGAGGAATGATAGATATGGGTCTATGGACTGATGGACTTATCATTGGAGTATACTACAGATGTCCTGAGGTCTTTTATGAAACTCTCAGGTATCTTACCAACTATAGAAGTTATACTAACCAACTTGTAGTTACTTGGTAAAGAACGTCATCCATTTTTTAAATATAGGCTCCACATTGGCCTTGAGTAGTGGTACCGAGTCAGTAATGAAAGAGTCTGTAAAAATGATAAACAATGAGTTTAAAATAACAGAGCTTAGCTCTTTGAGGACACATGGGTGCAACTCATATGTGAAGATACACACACAACGTCCAGTGAGACACACACCCACACTGTTAGGTCAGAGGCAAATCCTTAAAATCTGGACAGAGACACACAAAGTCGAAGCAGAGTCAACTAGTAACTGAGTGAGCAACCTGCCAAGCAGAATGGGAGATGTTGATGGTTTCAGTGATGAGAATGGAGTTGGTGTTCCAGAAACACAGCTTGGCTCCTCCCAAGACTGGGCTGTTTGTAGTCATGCTGATTCTCTTGTTTAGAAGGATAGGGGACATAGAAAAGATGGAGGGGGGTTTCTCTATGTTAGATGTGATCTGAAAGTGAGGAAGAAAGATGATCTTGTGGTTGGAGGTGGTGATGGTGTGGAGGAGGAATTCCGGGAGGCATGATAGATGGGTCTATGAACTGATGGACTTATCATTGGAGTATACTACAGACGTCCTGAGGTCTATGAGAAGGGGGAGAGTCGGCTATTCCAACAAGGTGATGGTGCGGAGGAGGAATTACGGGAGGAATGGTAGATGGGTCTATGGACTGATGGACTTATCATTGGAGTATACTACAGATGTCCTGAGGTCTATGAGAAGGGGGAGAGTCGGCTGTTCCAACAAGGTGATGGTGCGGAGGAGGAATTACGGGAGGAATGATAGATGGGTCTATGGACTGATGGACTTATTGGAGTATACTACAGACGTCCTGAGGTCTATGGGAAGGGGGAGAGTCGGCCTCTTAAATAAAAAGCAACGTGGCTCATTCATGGTGGTTGGAAAAAAAAAAAAAAGAAACATTTAGTAACAAAATTCTGAAGAGAGACTTTTTATTAATCAGTTTACAAAGAAAAGTTACAAATGTATCATTTAACTTATATTAGCCCACACTTTGCGCATGCTGCAGCTTCAGGTGAAATATACGCCCCATCAGATTCGGCTCCTCCCGGGCTCCTGAGGCTAACACAGTGGGCGGAGTGCCCTTTAGGCGCTGTAGCTTGAGAACCACGTTTGGTTTGTTTGTCACCAGCAGGCGGCGCTCTCCAAGCGGACACAACCATCTGTGCAGATACATAGTCAGCCTTGCCCTTTAGTCTGATCTCCCCGGCTCTTCATCCGCCAGCATATCTGGCATGCCTCTTACTATGAAAGCTCCTGCTGGAGAGGAGGGCGGCTTTCCCCCCCGGTGACATTGCCAGGGTATTGAAAGATAGGCCTTCCCTAATAAACATTTCCCGCACATAGGTCAGCAATGCAGCTTTTTGCATGCGTGAGATCTTTGATGTCTGACAAGCGTTGATTTCAGAGGATAACATTTCCAGCACTCAGGACAGGAAAATGGCTTTTCCCCCGTGTGTGATCTTTGATGTGCAACCAGGTCTAATTTCAATCCAAAACATTTCCCGCACTCAGGACAGGAATGTGGCTTCTTCCCTGTGTGGGATCTTTGATGTGAGACAAGTCCTGAGTTTCCTGTGAAACATTTCCCGCACTCAGGACAGGAATACGGTTTTTCTCCTGTGTGAGACCTTTGATGTGTAACAAGTGCGCATTTCCATCGAAAACATTTCCCGCACTCAGGACAGGGATACGGCTTTGCGCCCGTGTGACATTTTTCATGTGCAACAAGACCAGATTTCCATTCAAAATATTTCCCACACTCAGGGCAGGAATATGGCTTCTCCCCTGTGTGAGACCTCTGATGCGTGACAAGTGCGGCTTTCCATCTAAAACATTTCCCACACTCAGGGCAGGGATACGGCTTCTCCCCTGTGTGAGATCTTTCATGTGCGACAAGTGCTGCTTTCCATGAAAAACCTTTCCCGCACTCAGGGCAGGAATATGGCTTCTCCCCTGTGTGGGATCTCTGATGTGTGACAAGTGCTGTTTTCTTTAAAAAACATTTCCCACACTCAGTACAGGAATACTGCTTCTCCCTCGAATGAGATCGTAGATGTGTAACAAGCGATGATTTTGCAGAATAACATTTCCCGCACTCAGGACAGGAGTATGGTTTCTCCCCCGTGTGAGATCTCTGATGTGCAACAAGTTTTGATACCCGTGGATAACATTTCCCGCACTCAGAGCAGGAATACAACTTCTCGCTTGTGTGAGATCTCTGATGCATGAGAAGATCTGATTTTCGTGGATAACATTTCTCACATTCTGGGCAGGAATACGGCCTCTCCTCTGTGTGACATCTCTGATGTACAGAAAGATAAGCTTTCTGTGAAAACCTTTTTCCGCAATCTGGACAGGAATACGGCTTTTCCCCCGTGTGAGATCTTAGATGTATAGCGATTTCTGATTTTCTTGAATAACATTTCCCGCACTCAGGGCAGGGATATGACTTCTCCTGTGTGTGAGATCGTAAATGTCTGACAAGCGCTGAACACCATGCAAAACATTTCCCACACTCAGTACAGGAGAACCTCTTCCCTGCTGGAAGGCCGGCCCAGTCCCGCACAGTCTGAGGTTCCTCAGGATACGAGGAATCCGATGGTCCATCTACACTGGGTAGTGCCGGATGGACATTGGAGGGAGCCGGGTTTTCTCCTGGACTATACTGTGTGATGTCCTCATCTTCTACTTTCCAGTCTGGAGACAAAGTGAGACAATCCTCGGAGGTTTTCCTCATCTCCCGCCGTGGACTAAAATACAAAGACAAAGAGGATTACTAGACAGGAGCTGATTGGTTCCCCCAAACCAGGACTCCGCCCACATCAGGCAGCTTGGTCTCTGAGGAGCTTAAAAGGTAAATGGTTCCTCTTGAGCTCCAGGCTCTTGTCAGACAGAGAGATCCAATGAGAACTTTATCATCTGGACCAATCAGTGAGCAGTATGGGTGGAGGAATGGATTTAGTGTTCATGACCCACCTGTGCTGATCTCTGTAGTAGTGTCCTCCTCTATAAATGTCCCCGTTATTCCATCCTCCTTCATAGACTGCTGATCATCCCTCACATACGCCTCTTCTTCTTCTGATTTCACCTCAACTTTTATATTTGTCAGATCTTCACCCTAAACCAAGAGAAGGAGAGAAATTATCATCTGTAAGATATACTGTCAGCTCCAGTGATGGGAGACCACATAGAAAATATCATCTTGTAGGGTCCAAACATCATTTCCACAAGTTATTTTCATGTTATACATACGCCATCCCACCAACCTGTCCATAGCTGAGACCTTCCTGTGTGGAATCCCGGGAATACAGAGGATGGGAACATCTCTCTGGTGGGTTTCTGGTATTAGGTGGCTCCATCATACCATCACTGTGTTCTTCTGAAAACTCCTCCATCACTCCATACTCCTCATCCTCCTCTTTATACTCTTCTTTAACATCAATATTATCATCCCCAAGGATTCCACTCTGAAAGATATAATAAAACATTAATTGTAACAAACATGCCGTGTATAAATCACAACTACCAATAATTGTCAATCATCTACCTGATGAGGGTGAGGGATGGTGTGACCTTCTTGTGTGGAATCCCGGGAATACAGAGGATGGGGACATCTCTCTGGTGGGTTCCCATGACTGCATCCACTTACCTGATGATGGTGAGGGATGGTGTGACCTTCCTGTGTGGAATCCCAGGAATACAGAGGACGGGGACATCTCTCTGGTGGGTTCCCATGACTGGATCCATCTGTAGGAAACACACACACTGACTGAATCCATTGTTTCTATGTGTTTATCAGATGATGGGGGATCTAGGTGGATCCTCCATACTGCTCTCTCCTTTCCAATAAAGTCTCCTCTTACCCGGTGATGTGAGGGACAGCTGATTGTCCATCATGGTGTCCTTGTAGAGGTCCTTGTGTCCTTCTAAATACTCCCACTCCTCCATGGAGAATCAGACAGTGACACCCTGACAACTTATAGGAAGAGAACAGACATTACTATGAAGGAAGAGGACGGCCGTGACGGTAGACGACGGATATGACGGGGGTGGTTACTGGGGTGTAAATATAAAATCAGATCTTATTACCTCCTCTGCTGCCACTTCCAGCAATGTCTCCTCTATACTTCCTCCAGACTCACCTCTCACCCAGAACTTCCTGTCTGTAGCTGACCACTTCCTGTCTGTATCTCACATCACTTCCTGTATTCCATAGAGACTTCCTGTCTGGGTAGAAGTGAGATCACCCCTTGTGGAGGTCAGAGAAACAGCAGCCCCGAGATCCATCTGGTATGAAGACATCAGGAAACAATGAGAGAGCAGCACTACAAGCTTCATAGTGCTGTAAATGTAGTCCTCCCCCCTTAGGGGTCGCTGTTGAATTTGGGTCCCCCTATAGTCCTGCACAGCCAGTCAATGAGCATTCTCCCCCCAGAGTTCATCCACAGCCAGATCAGGCCTGGAGGGTTGGGTTTTGTTTATTATTAAAGGGATTGACCTCGGATAGGGAATGGGGGAGGAGGGTACAGGATCCCCAAGGGGAACCAAAATCTGAGGACAAACTTCCTGAACCATTCACAACTTCTCCACTGGAACACGACCAATGGGAGAGCCGGAGACTCCTGTTGTAGCACTACAGAGCCCAGATAAACTCCCCTCCCCCCAGCAGTCTGTAAGTTTCCTGTCCTGAGCACGGGATCTGCTTCCTGTTCCTTTAACCCCTCCCTGCCCGGGACAATGTTCAGCTTTCAGCGTTGGCGCACTTTGAATGATGATTGCACAGTCATGCAACAATGTAGCCAAATGATATTTGTATCGTTTTCTTTCACACAAATAGTTTTCTTTTGGTGGTATTTACTCCCCACGTGGGTTTTTTTTCTATTTTTGTGCTATAAATGAAAAAAGAGCAAAAAATTTTGAAAAGAAAAAATACATTTTTTTTCGTTTCGATTATAAAATTTTGCCAACAGGTAATTTTTATCCCTCGCTGATGTGCGTTGATGAGGCGGCACTGGTGAGCATTGATGACAAGGCACTGATGCACTGATATGCAGCATTGATGGACACTGATAGGCGGCACTGGTGAGCATTGATGACGAGGCACTGATGAGGCGAAGCTGATGAGTCAGCACTGGTGGCCATTGATGAGGCGGCACTGGTGGGCATTGACGACAAGGCACTGATGAGGCGGCGCTGATGAGTCAGCACTGGTAGCCATTGATGACGAGACACTGATAATGCACTGATATGCAGCAATGATGGGCACTGATAGGTGGTACTGATGGGCACTGATAGGCGGCACTGGTGGGGATTGATGACAAGGCACTGATGATGCACTGTTATGCAGCAATGATGGGCACTGATTGGCGGCACTGATAGGTGGTACTGATAAAATGGTCGTGAGAACCACAATCGGGTTCAGGGTAGGATTTCTGCTGCTGTTCCTAATTTTTTGAGAAATGAATTGCACGTGCATGCCGGAAAATGATCACACTGACAACGGTGCAGTATAACCATGTCCTCATCTCTGTTTATTGCAGGGCGGTGCTTAACCTTTTATACATAGAAAACAATAGAGTATACATCATTATTATGTAAATATGATCATAGTCTTGTGATGGATTTGGTAAAATGCCTATTTCGTTTCCTATTGAATATATATATATATACGCTATTTCTATAAGTTTTATAAATATTTACTTTTATACTTGAATATATATGTTGTGTGAATATTTTCTGCCTGCTGGGCTTTGTGGTACTTTAAGAAATCCTTGCTTAAGAAATATTTGCTCACAGGAACAGACCCCCTCCCATCGTGTGATTTGGAAGACAAAAGAATGTTTTTCTCTTTTTAAGATAAGACTGAAGAAGATCACACCTATACCATGACGGAGATTGATTTTTCGTGTAAAGTGACCAATCAAAGACTAATATAATGCTTATGCTGTTATCACGTGATGTTCGCATCATTTTTCATATATATAAGCTCACGGTTTCATTTCAATAAATTAGAGAGAAGTTTTCACAGACCAAAGGTGTCAG